CTTAGCAGTTGTCTGATATTAAATGCAGGCAATCCAAGAGTGACTCCTGAGGTCACAAGAGATGTCTGTTTATTAGCAAGAATGATGGCAGCGAACTTATACTATTCGCAAATAGAGGAGCTCATGTTTGAGGTATCAAAGAACAACTTAATATTTTTCCAGTTTGCTCTTTGATCCATCTTGAAGCATTGTGTCAGTTCCGTGGTGTTTTATATGCTTCTAACTCGTATATTGTTTCAGTTATCTATGTGGCGTTGCAACGATGAAGTTCGTATTCGAGCAGATGAACTTTACAGGTCCTCAAGGCAAGACACCAAGCACTACATAGGTAACTAGTGTTATTGTTTTTAAGATAATGGTCAAAAACACACCTAGTAGTTCATGTAGGAAACACAAACACTTGATAGTTCAGGTATGAAGCTCGCAAAAAAGTGATACTCGAGGTGTGCTTTTGACCATTATCTTTATTGTTTTTGAGGTATAGTGCACCAATATCAATCAGGAGGACACACATGAAGTTAATTCCACATTAGTGTTTATTCACCAGAAATTGCATCAAATTGTCCCTTGCAATCTCTATTTGGATGGAGCAGTTGTATAATTCTGGTCTTCAACTTTTCCTTTTGATGTAGAATTCTGGAAAACAATTCCGCCAAGTGAACCATATCGTGTAATTCTTGGCGATGTGAGAGATAAACTGTATCAGACACGTGAGCGTACTCGCCAAGTGTTAGCCCATGGAATCTCTGATATTCCTGAGGATGCAACTTACAATAGCATTGAGCAGGTATCTAATACTTGCGACCCTTCAATATGAAGAACATTATAACTCTAAGCAGGGAACAGTCACTAATGTGATGCTTATGTGTTGTACATTTTATGCAGTTCTTGGAACCTCTTGAGCTCTGCTACAAATCTCTTTGTGATTGTGGTGATCGTCCCATTGCCGATGGAAGCCTTCTGGATTTTCTAAGACAAGTTTCTACCTTTGGACTCTCATTTGTGAGACTTGACATAAGACAAGAGTCAGACCGTCACACTGACGTCCTTGATGCCATTACTCAGCATTTGGAAATTGGTTCATATCGTGAGTGGTCTGAAGAACGTAGACAGGAGTGGCTTCTTTCTGAACTCGGCGGCAAGAGACCTTTATTTGGACCCGATCTTCCAAAAACAGAAGAAATTGCTGATGTCTTGGATACACTCCATGTCATAGCAGAACTTCCATCAGACTGCTTCGGGGCATACATCATCTCAATGGCCACCGCACCATCTGATGTGCTTGCAGTTGAGCTCCTACAACGTGAATGCCATGTGAAGCAACCTTTACGAGTGGTTCCACTTTTTGAGAAATTGGATGATCTGGAGGCTGCTCCTGCTGCTGTTGCACGTCTCTTCTCGATTGAGTGGTACAGAAACCGGATTAAAGGCAAACAAGAGGTCATGATTGGGTATTCGGACTCTGGTAAGGATGCTGGTCGGTTTTCAGCAGCCTGGCAGCTATATAAGGCTCAAGAGGAGCTTGTAAAAGTTGCCAAAGAACATGGTGTGAAGCTAGTTATGTTCCATGGTAGAGGTGGTACAGTTGGAAGAGGAGGTGGCCCCACCCATCTTGCTATATTGTCTCAACCACCTGACACTATTAACGGATCTCTCCGTGTCACAGTTCAGGGCGAGGTTATTGAGCAATCGTTTGGGGAGGAACACTTGTGTTTTAGAACTCTCCAACGTTTCACTGCTGCTACCCTTGAACATGGTATGCATCCACCAGTCTCTCCAAAACCCGAGTGGCGTGCACTTATGGATGAAATTGCAGTTATTGCTACAGAGAAGTATAGGTCAATTGTTTTCAAAGAACCCCGATTTGTTGAGTATTTCCGCTTGGTAAGTGTGCAAGGAAATCCAGCATTATATCTTTTCTCAACAAATATTGCATTGAGCTAATTTGTTGTTCTTTCTTTTGACCATCACAGGCCACACCTGAGCTAGAGTATGGTCGAATGAACATTGGCAGCCGTCCATCAAAGCGTAAACCCAGTGGAGGCATAGAATCACTCAGAGCTATTCCATGGATCTTCGCCTGGACCCAGACAAGGTTTCATCTCCCGGTCTGGCTTGGCTTTGGGGCAGCATTTAGGTATGCTGTTGACAAGGATATCAAAAACCTACGCATGTTTCACGAGATGTACAATGCATGGCCATTCTTTAGGGTAACTATTGACTTGGTTGAGATGGTGTTCGCCAAGGGTGACCCGGGTATTGCAGCTCTGTACGACAAGCTTCTTGTTTCAGAAGATCTGTGGTCCTTCGGTGAGCTTTTGAGGTCCAAGTACGAAGAGACAAGAACCCTCCTGCTCCAGGTAACTATTCATGAATTCTGAAAAGTATTACTCAATTTGTTTGTCTTCCTTTCCTTTTTAGGCTGTTTCAGAAAGAAAGTCTTTTTCCTTTTTTGACAACTGTTTAATGCTAACTTTCCACGTGGCATGTTTAATACCACAAGATTAAAATACATTTTGGTACATTCCACATATCTTTAGTTTAAAACCACAAGATTCAAAAGTTCATTTACATTCTTAAACTCCATGCTAAGTTAAAACCAAACAACCAAAATGAAATAGAGGGAGCATCTGTTATCACTTATTATGTCTGATTACTTAAAATCCGTCTTGGATCAATGGTAAAGTTGTCTTTTGTGTGACCTATAGATCATGGCTCAGAGCCTGTTTGGATTGGCTTATTTTAAGTGCTTTTAAGCACTTTTTTAGTATTTGGATAAATTAAAGAAGTGTTTATAAGCATTTGATTTAAGCTAAAATGCTAAAAATAAGTCATAAGTTAGGAACTTGCGACTTTTGGATTATAAGCCAAAAGTCAATCCAAACAGGCTTGCTCTAAAACTTGTGTCAGGGTAGGCTGCCTACATCACACCCCGTAGTGTGTGCACCTTCCTCAGACCCTACATAAACAGGGGGATGCTTCATGCATCAGGCTGCCTTTTTTATGTTTATTTGCTTGAGAACCCATGGACCTAGGTTAAATTTTCGACTGTTCTTTCTTAATAGATTGCTGGACACAAGGATCTTCTGGAGGGAGACCCCTACCTTAAACAACGACTCAGGTTGCGTGATTCCTACATCACAACCTTAAACGTGTTGCAAGCCTACACTCTAAAGCGTATACGTGACCCAAACTACCATGTCAAGCTGAGGCCTCATATTTCCAAGGAATACATGGAATCAAAATCAGCTGCTGAACTAGTGACGCTGAATCCGACAAGTGAATATGCCCCTGGCTTGGAGGACACACTCATCTTGACCATGAAGGGTATTGCTGCTGGAATGCAGAACACTGGCTAAACGCAAAGAACCTCGTTCATGTTTTTGTAATTTTATACTCGAAAAAGCATCAATCTGGTTTACAAAAGATGATGTTTTTCCATCCTGTTGTGTTTTATGTTGTGTTTTTGAGGTGGTGTTGTATTCTGTGCCCACCCTATAGAGATCATGTTTGATCAAGTTGCTTGTCGCAACGCCTCGAGAATAAGACTGCATTTTGAGCAAATGTTGCACCAGCATGAACTGTAATCTCTTTTGCTGGCTTAATGAAATATCTATTTGCTTTCAACATCCATTTTTATGGCCCTGTTTTTTGAGTTTAAGGTCTAGTTTTGCTAAACTTTTTTTGTATATTGTAACCATGCACTTCATTCGCCCGGAGTTTGCTCCTAGAAATATAGCCCCCTCACGTCAATCCTACGAGCCTCTTATCCATTCTCATTGAACGATGACAGTGGAGCTAATCCAATTAAAACATTGGATTTCAGGGATGACAACATTGGACTTGTAAATTGATTCGTAACCTTTTGAATTCTCTTACTTGTAGGAGTACATCTTAAATTTGATGATTATGATGGTTGGGGTCCTAATATCATTATGATCCGTTAATGTGACTTGGTCAGAAAATGTTCTTGTCTCTATTCACTAGCTCAAGTGGTCCCCATTTTTATGCTTTAGTCACCTTTGATAGGCACGAACTAATGGCTTCCACCACATCAAAGTAACTCTCACCCATTGAGTTAACATTCCTTACTTGTCCCATCGAAAAATAGGACTGACTAATTTTAAGTTAAATGATGGATTAGATATTTTGTACTCAAATTTTTTATCAACACTCTCATATATATTTTATCAAAATCGAAAAAAATAAAATGATCTTAACAATTTATTCGTAAAAGAGCTATTAGATTTATATTTCGATAAAAGTAAATATATTAAGTAATTTTTTCCTATCTATCCAAGTACTTATACCAACGTGACAACGACCAAAGATAATGTGACAAATTTTCTGTCACCAATCAAAGTGACTGTTCTGTGAAACTTAGCCCCCATTTGTTGACCAATCTTGAGATATACTTAGTGCACACGGAAAGGATACTTGCATGTGAAGTTCAAACGTATATGCTAATTTACTATTATTTTAAATTATTTATCGTGATTTCTAAAAAGCATAATATAGATAAATATGTTATTTAATTTGATTTTGATTATATTTATGCTTTTCAATTTTGAGTATGCATAAATAAATACTTAAACTTATATAAAATTGAACAAGTAGACACACACACATTCTACATGACATATTACGCAAAGAAATCATATAGGATGCAGATTATCACATAGAACTCCGTAAGACATATGTATCTACTTGTTTAATTTTATACGAATTTGAATAATATTACAATATACTAATTATATAATGATGAAAATGATGATGTTTCTTGCTGATGTAGATGTTGATTACTATATTATTTCTATTAAATTTCCAGGGTCGGTGGTTGGTGATTAATTGTTGCTTCCTAGAAATTACTTAAGTCTACATCAAGTCTTCTTTAAATAATAAACTTTATTGTAAAGTCCATTAAAATATAAAATAATTTCCCACTATATATATTTGAATTTGATCTCTTTAGCCAATTCATTCAAGTAAAGAATCTCATTTTCTCAATTTCACAACACACACATACAAAAAAAAAAAAAATGTCTCCTGAAGAAATGTCTAATATGAAATCGTTAATATCGACTATTGCATCTGTTACTGCAACAGCTATGCTCGTTCGAAGCGTAGCTAGTGACTTTATCCCAAAGGAATATCGTAGTTATGTCTTTGATAGCTTTCACAACCTTTTTCATCGTTTCTCTTCACAATTCACTATCCTGATTCATGAATTCCAGGGTCCGTCTCCAAACCTAGTGTTCGAGGCAGTTGAGGTCTATTTAGGAACTATAGTGAACTCTTCTACTAAGAGTATTCGATTAGGAAAGACGGAGAATGACAAAGGGCTAGTTATTACAATGGATAAAGACGAAGAAATCATCGATGTTTTTGAGGATGTTAAGGTGATATGGAGGATGGAATGTAGACGAATCGAGTCAGGGAGTCAGAATGATGAGATAAAGGATATGATAGCTGCATTGTGTTCGGAGCTAAGATGTTATGAGTTGAAATTTCATAAGAAACATAAGGAGAAAGTGATGAAATCGTATTTACCTTACATTATGGAGAGATCAAAAGCCGCGAAAGAAGAATCCAGGGTTATAAAATTGTATTCTAATTTCAGGAATTGGGGTTCTGATGGAATGAATCTCGAACATCCTATGACATTCGATACTCTAGCTATGGATGAAAAGGTAAAAACTGCGTTAATTGACGATTTGGGAAGTTTTATTAAAGGGAAAGAGTACTATAGCAGGATTGGGAAAGCATGGAAAAGAGGGTATTTGCTTTATGGACCTCCAGGAACTGGTAAATCGAGTTTGATTGCTGCTATGGCGAATCATTTGAACTATGATATCTACGATTTAGATCTTACACAAGTACATAGCAATTCAAATCTTAGATCATTGCTACTTGGTATGTCTGGTAGGTCAATACTTGTCATCGAGGACATTGATTGCAGCATCAATTTAGAAAACAGAGAAAAAAACGACGAAAAGGAAAATAAGCACAACAGAGTAAGTTTTAAGTTCAATTTTTTAGTCTTTGTTACATATTTTTTCTTACCTATAAACTAATGTGGTTTCGATTTTCACAAGGTGACTCTGTCAGGGATACTTAATTTTCTCGATGGGATATGGTCGTGTTGTGGAGAGGAACGGATAATTGTAGTTACGACTAATCACATTGATAAACTAGATGCAGCATTATTGAGACCTGGACGAATGGATATGCACATCAACATGTCATACTGCAAATCATCGGCGTTTAAACAATTAGTTTTCAATTACTTAAATATTCATCATCATGAATTGTTTGATCAAATCGGAGAGCTACTAGAAGTTGTGGAGGTTACACCGGCAGATGTTGCAGGGGAACTGTTGAAAAGCAAGAATCCAACTATATCCCTTCGAGGACTTATTGAATTTTTGAAAATAAAATTGCACAAGGAAGAGATGTTGAAATCGGAAAATGGAGTAGCAGAGGCAGAGGAAACATTCAAAGATGAAACGAAACATGAATCTATACATGATTCTTCTGAGGATCTGAGTAACATTGTTGATCTGTAGACGAAGACGGAGATGTATTTTTTACTCTTTTTTCTTTTTCTTTCTTCTTCTTGTTTTCTTGATGAATAAATAGGTTCTTCAAGCTAACAAGTATTTTGAGCTCTCTGTACTTTTTTTTGAAAAAAATTCTGTTCAGTTAAATCTTTGCACAGTTAAGATATAAATTACAAACACGAATCAAAATTCATACATTAGTATATATACATTAAAAAACAATTCGATCTATTTACATTGTGTAATTTCCCAGCGAAGGATATCAATCGACTCCCCTCGGATATATAAGGGTTGCTCGATTCCTCCATCCTATATAGTTAACTGTCTGTTGGTGTGTAGATCTATCTCGTATCCTATTTTTTTTTTTGCCTTCTATTGCTTGGTGGGTAGATCTCCTATATAGTCAATTGTTGCCTTCTATCTGTTGGTGTGTAGATGTATCCCGTATAGATCTACCTCGTATCTTTTTTTTTTGGAACCCCTTGGATAAGGGTAGCTCCGTCTTATATAGTCAATTGTTGCCTTTTGTGTTGGTGTGTAGATGTATCCTGTATAGATCTACCACGCATCCTTTTATTTTTTGGAACCCCTTGGGTAAGGGTAGCTCCATCCTATATAGACAATTGTTGCCTTCTGTCTGTTGGTGTGTAGATGTATCCCGTATAGATCTTTCCCGTATCTTTTTTAAAAAAAACCCCTTGGATAAGGGTAGCTCCATCCTTTATATTCAATTGTTCCCTTCTCTCTGTTGGAGCTCATCTTCTATTTGTTGGAGCTCCATCCTATATAGTCAACTGTTGACAGAATGCCTGTTGGTGTGTAGATGTATTCTGTATAGATCTACTTTGTATCTTTTTTTCCTTTGGAACCTTTTTTTTTTTGGAACCCATTGGATAAGGGTAGCTCCAACTATATAGTCAACTGTTGCCTTTTGTCTGTTGGTGTCGACATACTCGACTCAGAAGACATTGAGGGGGGATCGATTATGGGTCATCTGTGTGGATAATCACCCTCCAAATCAACTGAGTCATTCCGAAGGACTGTATCCTATTTTCTCGTAGGTTTATCATTTAAATTGTTGTTGTGTTGCTTTTTGTAACTCGAAGAATAATATCATTTATCCAAATATTGTATTTATTAAAACAATACAATACGATATAATACAACACAATACAATACATTTTAAAATATTTCATGACCCCTCAATTATTTCAAATTCTAAGCCATTCCAAGTTTGTGGCTAATATTTTTTACTATACTATTTTTACAACCACAAAAACATAAAATAAACCCCCAAAATAAAAACGAGTCAATTGCTACAATCACTTCATTATGTGGTTATATATGAAACTGTTAGAGAAATAATAGCTCCACCATATTTTTCTCAATTTATTTTCACTATAAAAAGGCCATTTCATTATAATCAAAACAAGACACACACAAAGAGAAGGAGCAATAAAATAAAAGAAGAATAAAAAAACAACAATTTGTGTGGAAAAAAAAAACACACACACAAAAAAAAAAATTCCAACTAAAATGGCAAAGGCTATTTTGCTCCTCTCTGCTCTTTGCATTGTGGCCCTTGCCAATTTTGCACATTGCCACTCTGAAGTTTTTGATGTTGAAGGAAAGGTCTACTGTGATACTTGCCGTGTTCAATTCGAGACAAAACTCAGCGAAAATCTTGACGGTACGAAAATTTTCTAGTAGTCGATATATCTGCTATGTTATTTTCGACTTGAACTATATATATTTACATTCATTCTCATAAAGGAATATCACAGCGAGTGACATTAGGTCAATCTTTGTGTATACAATCAATTACTCCCTAGTCATAAATGAATCTTATTATATTCATTTCATTCTATTGAGACTCATTTCGTTAGTATTCGTAATATCCATCATAACCAAACATCAATTATTCCAAAATTTCTCATTTTCACTAAATTTGAAAGGCGGAGTTCACATGCATATATAAAAAGGTCAAATTTTTCATTATTTGTGAAAGTTACTGAATGAATCTATTTCGATTTATCATGTGACTCACTTTTTATTGAACAGAACTAAAAGTGCTTTCTTTTGTTTTGTTGCAATAGGCGCGACTGTGAAGTTGCAATGCAGGAACATCAGCACAGAGGCCGAGACGTTCTCAGTGGAGGGTGTGACAGACAAGGATGGAAAGTACAAATTAACCGTTGATGGGGACCACGAGAACGATATTTGTGAGGTGACAGTTGTCAAAAGCCCAAGGGAGGACTGCAAAGAGAGTGTGTCAGGATATGAAAAGGCAAGAATTGAGTGTAGTGACAATGTTGGTATCCACAATGCTGTGAGATATGCCAATCCACTTTTCTTCATGAAGGCTGAGTCTGTTCAAGGATGCAAAGAAGCTCTTGATGAGTTGGGTTTATTCCCCCTTGAATTCTAAAGTCTTTTAAAGTGACAGAAAATAAATAGCTAATGATTTGCCCTTTCATGTTGTAATGGGAAATAATAAAAATGAACAATGAGGAAAGATGGATTTTTTCATTTATATGTATTCATATATGGAATGATAAGTTCCATGTATTTGTTTTAATGAGAAGATCTTGATCATATTTTAAGAAACTTTGTTCTCCTCTTCTTGGTGTTTGGACTTGTTATACTTTTATGATTTAGTTTGTTTGTTAACTATGATGTCCTGATCAGCTTGCGTACATTTCGATAATCTTTATAGTTATAATGTCCTCATGATCAACTTAGTTCTCATGAAAGAAAACGTTTCATGTATTGTTTCATGGGAAGATCTTGATCATACTTTAAGAAACTTGGTTCTCCTCTTGGTGTTTGGACATCTTACATATTTATGATTCTCTTTTTTTTTGTTGGTTAATTATGATATCTTGATCAGCTTGCACATATTTAGATAATATTTATAATTATGATGTCCTTATTAGCTTGGTTCTCATGGAAGAAACAAAGTTTTATGTATTTTTTAATGAGAAGATCTTGATCATATTTTAAGAAACTTTGTTCACCCCTTGTTGTTTGGACTTGTTACATTGCTATGATTTTTTATTTGTTAACTATCATGATCATCTTGCTCATATTTCGATAATATTTATAGTTATGATGTCCTGATCAACTTAGTTCTCATGAAAGGAAAAATTTCATGTATTGTTTCATGAGAAGATCTTGATCATATTATAAGAAACTTTGTTCTCCTCTTCTTGGTGTTTGGACATGTTACATTTTTATGATTTTTTTTGTTTGTTAACTATGATGTCCTGATTAGCTTGTGCACATTTCGATACTATTTATAGTTATAATGTCCTCATGATCAACTTGGTTCTCATGGAAGGAAATTACATGTATTGTTTAATGAGAAGATCTTGATCATATTTTAAGAAACTTGGTTCTCACATGTACATTTAAAAAAAAATATAATTATGGTGTTCGAGTTAGTGTAGGCATCTTTTGAAAATATAATTGTGAGATCAGCTTGTGCACATTTCGAAAATATTTATAGTTATGATGTCCTGATCAACTTGGTTCTCATGAAAAAAAAATGTTTCATGTATTGTTTAATGAGAAGACCTTGGTCATATTTTAAGAAACTTGGTTCTCCTGTAGGTGTTTGCACATGTTACATCTTTTTTTTAACTATGATGTCGTGATCATCTATCGTGCTCACATATCGATAATATTTAATTTATAATCATGATATGCTCATCAACTTGGTTCTCTTGGAAGGAAAAGTTCCACCATCCATGTATTGTTTAGTGAGAAGATCTTGATCATATTTTAAAATCTTGATTCTCACATGTTATATTTTTTAAAAATAATAATGATATTCGAGTTAGCTTGCATGCATCTTGATTAAGGCTGCAAGGAAGTTCTTGATGATGAGTTGGGTTTATTGACACTTGAATTCCAAAAAATGATCAATGTCTTAAGTGGAAAAAGTGTTATAGTTTGTGCCAATTTTGTTGATGGAAAATAATAAAAATGAACAATAGAGATGAATTTTCTTATGTATATGTACTCACATGGAATAAAAAGTTCCATGTATTGTTTAATGAGAAGGTTTTGATCATATTTTAAGAAACTAAGTTATTCTCCTCTTGGTGTTTGGACATGCTGCAAATTTTATTTTATATCATTATAGTGTCTGAATCTGTTTGTCTGCATTTCGATTATGGTTGTGAGGAAGTTTTTCATGTGTTGGGTTGTTGAGTTTATTCCCACTTGAGTTCTAAAATTGATAAATGTTTAAGCGGAAAAAATTTAATAGTTTTTTCCCTTTTCGTTTGATGATTAATAATGAATAAATAATGAAGATTATTAATTAGATGTATTTTCTTATGTATATGTACTCTCATTGAATGATAAGTTCCATCTATTTATTAAATGACAAGATTTTGATCATATTTTAAGAAACTTGGTTATTCTTACGGTGCTTGGACATGTTATATTTTTTTTTGACTTTTTTTAATTATATATAAATATGATATTTGAATCAGTTTGGATCAACTTGAGTGTATATCGATTAAGATTATAAGGAAGAGTTGGTTGTATCACATTTGAAATGAACAATGAGGAAAGATGGATATTCTTATGTATATGTACTCTCATGGATGAAATTTTTCATGTATTGTTTAATGAGAAAATCTTCTTAATACATTTTAACGAAATTATTGGTATTTGGAGTTTTAGTAATTTTGTATTGATTAATCACATGAGTTAATACTTTAGCTGCGATAAATTTATGGAATAAAAGAAATATAGATGATTTTTTTTAATTAGGAAAAAGAGAATTTTAATCATATTAATTAAAAAAAACAGTATTTTTAGTAAATTATTTTTTGGACAGAATCTTTTGCTTTTTGATAACAATAATACAAAAAAGATAAAAAAAGAGCAACAACAATAATAATAATAATAAATAAAAAAAATCCAATCGAACCCTATTAAGCACAAGTTTTTAGTGAGAGAAACTGTGCTTCTGAAACTCTCAATCCATTTTTCTACTTTCTCTCTCTAGAAAAAGTGCGTATTAGCTTAAATTTTCTGCAAACAATTTTTTTTTTTCATCGATTCAATTTCAATGGCTAACAGCAATCTTCCTCGAAGAATTATCAAGGTGAATTTTTCCTCTTTTTTCGATCCATTGTTTTTTTTTTTTTTGATTTTAGAGACCCATTTTGTGTTTGATCACTAGGGTTTTGATCTACTGTACTTCGATTTAGTTTGATTTTGAGTTCGATTAAGTTTGAATTTTGATGTTTTTATTTATTTATTTACAGGAAACTCAGCGTCTTCTAAGTGAACCTGGTAAATATATATATCTGTGGAAGCCATGTATTGGATTTTTAAATTTGTTTATTAGAAGTGAAATTATTTGAGTATTGGAATGAAATTGCCTCAGTTTGAGCTGAATGGGTGGAGAATATAGAGGATTTTGTATAGATGAACTCAACTAGTTAGGGATTTAGTTGTTGACTCAGTGGCGGAGCTAGGAATTTGAACGAGGGGATTCAAAGGAAAGTTCTTATGATGAGGATTCAACAAATTATATATACGCAAAAAAAAAAGATCATTTTTTTGCCTTGTTTAAATAGTATAATTGAGCCCCTTTGCACCCATCTGCCTCTGCACCCTGCTGCTGTTGTTGTTGTTCAATAAATCATGCCAAAAAGTTCTTGAATTTGTCTCCAAATAATTTGTGTTCAAAAGGTACTAACTACTACAAAGATATCAGTTTTGAGCCATTTCTCTCCTCTCCTTTCATTGAAGATGCAATTTTGAGCTCTTTGAAGCATTTATGTTATCTTCATTAACTACATGAACGTATTTCCTAGGTTGATTGGACTAGGGTGCGGATATCCGATGCGGATGTAATTCGACAAAATCTAGATTTTAAGATTCAGGTGTATTGATCCAAGTATGGATAGGGATGCTGGGATTCGGCTAAAAAAGTTAAAATGATAAAATAGAACTATAAAGATATTCAAAATCTTGAAAGATCTTCTAGGTCATCTTCCCCCAAGACCCAAACTTATTTTTTTTAAAGCTCTCTGGTAGTCTGGTTCTTCCCCTCAAAAAAGAAAAAGAAAGTCATTCTAGGCCTTCCACCAACTCTCCTTACAGATCATTGCTGCTACCTACCAGAAGTCAGAACACAACTGCTTGAATTCTTAGTTTCTCTCCGTTTGGCTTGGAATGTGAAGCAACGAATATTGACCAAGAGGAAAAGCTAAAAAGGAGACAAAAGGACTATAGTATTGATTTTATGCCACTTCCCATGTCTTAAATCTATTTTATCTTCTATTTTGAGAAATCAAAATCTCAATTTTCCCCCAAATTTGCCAATGGACTCTGATCAAAGTATCCGATGTGGGTTGACCTTATCCCACACATATCCTGCACCTGCACCTGTCTCCTATTGACATGGGTGCAGCTGCAAAAATAAGGAGTTCACGCAACCTAGCCTATTTCTCCTCTCCGTTCACCCAAGGTGCATTATTGTATTTTCTTCCTGAATTTCAGAGTATAGTAGACTTGATTTTGTTTGTTAATTTTGGTATGGCAAATGTTTATGCACCTTGAGACTTATTGCGAGTTTGTTCATTGGATTGTGGTTTTGGTTGATTCACGACCTATCTTTCTAAGAGAGTTTTAAAAGTTTTGGTGTGGTTTAACTTTGATTGCAGCACCAGGAATAAGTGCTTCTCCCTCAGAAGAAAATATGCGATATTTTAATGTCATGATTCTTGGTCCAACACAGTCTCCGTATGAAGGTAATTTGCTCAATAAATTATGCTAAGAAAATGGAAAAAAATAGTTATGCTAAGTAAATGAAAGTCCATGTTGCTATTGTGCGTCACATTGAGTAAATTGTGTCCTTTCTCTTGAATTGGTTCTTCACTTGTACATAGTTCTTGGTAAGATTTTCCACTACTTTTCTTTTCCTGTTTCATGCTCCTACTTTCATTTGCCTACCTGGTCCCTCTTTGTAGTCTTTGGGATCTGAGTTATATTAGGCTTTGCAAATCTTGTTGTGGATCGGTTTGATGTGAAAAAGATAAATGTAACACGAAATCACCTGGTGTCCTGACTAATTAATTCTGCTAAAGTTGAAATGAACTTGACTAGCTGACTGCAATACCAGTAGGATGCAGGGTTGTATTTGTCAATTTAATTTAGTAGTAAGTTGTTAAATATGTCCCAACTCCCATAGTTTCAGTATCATTATGTGCATGCTTATTATGCATATCTGGACGTATTTCTGACAACAGCATAGTGGATAGCTAGCTGTCCTTTTACAATTTTTTTGGGACTATAAATGGCATTTAGGTGAAAGACATCTATCGTTGGTCTTTCAGTGTTTACTTTGATATGTATTTATGTTACTTTCTTTTCTTTTAGTTCAACTGGTTTACCCTAATTGCTGGCCCATACATGATATGCTATTCTTTATTCTTTGAGTGACATATATCTTTTCTACCTTGTGTAGTTTTTTTCTGCTGTAGTTTTCTTCGCTTAATTCCACTGCTTCCTGCTTTTGTGTAGGAGGTGTTTTCAAACTGGAACTCTTTTTGCCTGAAGAGTACCCAATGGCTGCGCCA